GCCAGAGGCTGTTATGTTCTTAATTTTTTTGATTAAGCTAAAAATAATACATATTGATTCAGTGCTCCTAGGTACTTAACAGTTGTTTTTAAAAAAGGAAAAGCATACAAATTTTGGATTTTTTTTGTTGTTTTGTTTAAATATTTTTTAATTTCATGCATAAGAACTATTACTTCATTTCTACTCCTCTCCTCAACCCCAGCTTTTACTCTGCTCTCTCATACCATTTCACACACACACACACACACACACACACACACACACACACACAGCCCACAGAAGATTTCAAGCCATGCTACATAGCACAATAATAAAAGGCAGCCCAGAACTGCCATACACAGACTGACAGACCAATGGAACCACACAGAAAGTTCAAAAGTAAAACCAGTGTCTTCAGTCAACTGATTCACAGAAAGACAAAAACAAACAAACAGCAACAAAAAAATAAACAACAACAACAACAAAAAAAACCCCACACATTTGAGGAAGGACAGCCTCTTCAACAAATAGTGCAGGAATATTGGATACTCACATGTAAAAGATGGAAGCAACCTCCACCCCTCACACTACAGAAAATCAACTGCAAATGAAACAAATATCCAAAGGAAAGGCCTAAGACTACAAAACTACCTGACAAAAACACAATGGAAATACTTCAAACAATAGCTACAGGTGAATGGGGTTTTCCAGACCCAGGTGCAAGAACAAAAGCAAACTCAAAAGTATAAATGCACTCATAACAGGCTAAGAGGCTTCTGCACAGCAAAAGAAACAGCTGAATGAAGATAAAGAATAGGGGAAAATCTTTTCCTATCTGTCACCAAAAATGTTTTTCTTTCTTTCTTTCTTTTTTTTTTTTTTTTTTTTTTTTTTTTTTTTTGGGCCACACAATTTCAAAAGAAAAAGGGCTGATAACATGGCGAAACAGCAGCCTCCTAACTAACTAGCCTTAAGTAATTCTCTTTGTTTCCAACATTTTTCTAACACTCAGATAAGACACTACTGAAGTCTACCTATTCAAAGCCTCTCAAGGCAGGGTCTGTGTTTAAAGATTTGAAGTTGTCACTCCCTTTAGATTCTAGGTGTGTGTTAAATTGAGAGACATTGAGAAGAGCTTGTTGTTTTGTTTTTCTGGGCACAGAAACTTAACTTGAATAATCGTCAGTGAAAGGGAAGGATCGGGTGGAAAGCACATTTGGAACTTCTCACAGAAGTCATGACTAGGAAAATGGCTCCAGCAAGAACACCCTGAAATCTAAACCACCCTCTGTTCTTCTCTATATATATCAACTTCTAAGGCATAACTGCTGCCTCTGCTCCTAGCTACTGTCACAAAGGTGAATGCCAGAAGGTGTTGCTGAGAATGGAGAGAAGGGTGGACTCTTTGGGTAGGAATATCGATTAGTACAGCCAATGTGTAAAATAGCAGAGCAGACTCTCAAAACTAAAATTAGTGATTATTGGATCAAGAACTATGACATCCAGGTACATAGCCAAAGAACTGAAATCAGTATACCAAAGAGCTTTCTTTACTAATAGGTTTATTGTAGGATTATCCATAGTAGGAAAGATATGCAAGAAGGGTTAATGCTCATCCATCCCTGAACAAATGAAGGAAATTACATGTTTGTATATTTGTGTGTACATATATATATATATATATATATATATACACATATGTATATATATATGAGAGAGAGAGAGAACATTGTACTCAATGTCCTTAAACAAAGGAACGGAATCATTTGCAGTGTTAACGCACATACAAGCATCGTGTAATCACTATTACCCTTAGAATTAAAACTAAACAAGCCTCATATAAAAAAAAAATAAAAAGGTTGTAGGTATCAGAGGATGAGATTGGATGAGGGCAGGCTGGCACAGATATGTTTCTCAAAGGGCACAACGTTTCAGTTATGTTAGAAAAATACAATAAGCAATCTGTTGCACCACATGGTAATTACTGTTAGCCATTAAGAATTTCCAAATTGCTAAATAGATTTTACCATCCTAAATAATGACTTAGGAGCTGGTATATTGATTTAAAAGGTGGTATATCATAAAACATTAATATCCATTTCATCGGACAAACATTAATAGAATAAGGGCACACTGGCAGACTTGCTCCCAGAAAGGAGATCATTCCTACTGGAGTACAGTATTGGGTGCATTTTTCAGCAGTCTTTTACAGCATCGGATGCTACAGGTATTTTGGAGATAATGAGTGTAAGATGTATTACATTTCTGCAGAAGAGAAATGTGATAGAAAGAACTCAAGAATGGCCTTGCCTACTTCCTCTCTCCTTTGGTCTTCCCCTGCTGAGAAAAAGAATCTAAGTTTCCTCTAAAACTAATGGAGGGACAGAAAAACAAAGACGCTGTTCTGTTTTTTATATGCTCTTTAAGATTTAAAGTGTGTGTGTGTATGTATGTATGTATGTATGTGCACACGCGTGTGCATGCAAGTGCCCATAGAGGTCAGATACGGGCATTAGATCCACAGGGGTTGGAGTTACACATGGTTGTGAATGGCCAACACAAGTGTTTTGATCCAAAGACCAGTCCTCTAGAGAGCGGCAAGCACTTTTAAACATTGAGCAATCTCTCCAGCCCTAAATATATTATTTATAGGAAAAAGAAGCTTGTACATGTTCACTGCTTAAATATTTAATTAAGTGTATATTTCTGTAATAAATTCAGTTTCTACAACTGTCGCTGTAACAGACTCTGACTGAAGATTTGTGTTTATTTTTTTCAGAGTTTTCTTTACAACAGATGTACTACCAACAATTGTCATACAAGGTTTTGTTCAGGCCACTTAGGGAGTATTTCAGCTTAGGATAGTATATGATCACCTTGTAGAAGATTAAGACAAGTCACAAAAGTAAGAATTAAATCAATGCATCCGTGCTGATTTCCAGTTAGAAAAAGACAGATACAGGCAAGAGGATAGTTTTGGCAGCTTGTATGGAGATTTCTCAAGAGCATGCCCAAATGAGATGTTGAAATTCTTGCAACATGTAGTTTATCATTAAATATTAGGAGTGAATTCCTAAAACACAGATAAAGTTATAATTTTAAAACATGAAGGAATGGGCTGGTCTTTAATTGTATTGCAAGCACTCATGGAAAATAGTCTAAGTGTATTTTTGAAAAAACTAATTAGGAGAATATGACTGAAACACTGGGTAGATTCTAAAATATATTTATAGTGTAATCTTGACATGAAGAATATAAAAGTATACAAATGTGTTAACAATCATATTGATGTCTGTGTTCCTAGTAGTCTTGGTATTTTGGGACATCTGTTCCCAAATAGTTTGTAGTTAAGAATAAGATTCCCTTTAAATTAACTTTCCCAAGGGAAAGGGAAATTGTGAAGATTTGTCCTAGTCATGAAATTGATCTTTGCACAGTACACAGCTAGTGTGCGAGCAGGAAGAGCAGGAAGCTACCTCCCATGTGTCTTCACCAACACTTCCCACCTCTGCTGTGTAAGTTTCCACTGGCTTTACAGAAATACTTCCTGTTTAATTCTGCTCCATTAGATTTCCCAACTATCTAGACTCCATTTTCTGAACCTAACACTCATGTACTTTCCATAAGATCAGGGATCCGACTGAGAATGTAACTGTTTACTGTGGTTTGAGATGTTGGTGGACTCTGTCTGCACAATTAATCTTTAGCTGCTGAATTGATTAGTAAGGGTATTCAAAGAAATCTATCGTTCAGAACCCTGACATAGGATTGAATTTTAAATCTTCAAATGGATTCCAGATTTCAGTGATGCCTATGATTTCTCCAGACATTGTAAGCATGAAGAGCAACATTAATATGTGTAAACATGTGTTAGGTGTCATGCTAAGCTCTGCACATGGCTTATCTTAATTCCACACCAAAGAAGTCACAAAGGAACTGAGTTATGAATACATTCCACAAATGAACAGTGAGCTTAGAGAGGAGGGATAACCCCTAAGTTTACACAGCAATAAGAGCTAGGTAAGAATGTGGTTCCTGAACCTACCAGTACAACTGACACCTGAGCTGACCTCAGTGTGCAACATCAGCACCTGACACTTGGGGACAAAGTACAGGATCCACATCAGGGGTCTGCTTTTTTCTCTAAGATGAAGGCTTTGGTGTTCCACAAGGTCACTGTGAGTTCTCTAGTTACACTAGCATAAAACACACCTGTCACATAGTAATTGAGGGAACTCTAGCCTAACTGGAGTGAGTACAAATTTTTCACATGGTGTGTGTGTGTGTGTGTGTGTGTGTGTTTGAGAGAGGAAGGGGAGGGGGAGAGAGAGAGAGAGAGAGAGAGAGAGAGAGAGAGAGAGAGAAATTGAAGACAAGCCATTGAAGCTCTGCATTTATTATTTGCCTCACCTCAATGGCAACTTGGCAACTCTAAACATACATTCCAGGGCTTTAGATAGTATCCTAAACACACAAATACAATGCAACCAAAACTGTCCTATGACATTGAATTCATGAATTTAGGGAGTTTCCATAAATGAACTGGCTTCTTGCTCTTTATTCATCTTCTTGCTTAAAATATCTAGCCTGTGATAGCCTAAAATAATCCAAGTGGTAGACTTGGAGTAAGAGAGGGAGAAAAGGAGAAAAAGAAAGGTAGAAACAATCCCCAAATTTTCTACCAATACAGAAGAATGGTAGGAAGTAATCAAAGAAGATACATCTTTTCCTCCTTACAGAGGAGGAATTGTGCCCCCAGGGGAACATTAAGTCCATTCAAGTGGGAAAAACTGCAGTGGGAAAATAGCCTATGCTTTGGCTCTTTCCTACTGACAAAGTTAATGATTTAAATTTCCCAGACTCTCCTCCACACTTCCCTCGAGCTATCTATTTGCTTTGATGATGATATTTTCTTTCTTTGGGGCCAAGGCTGACAGTGTGGAGATTAATAATTGATGAGTTCCTAGTTAGGAGAGCTTGTAAAAGCAACTGGTAACTCAGTGCTTCTGTCCCTTTCACAGTGACCTGCAGATGAGAGGAGGTGCTACAGGACTTCCTGGACACAACATGAAGAGGGTCCTAGTTCTCCTGCTGGCCTTAGCACTTGGGCATGCTCTAGAGCGAGGTAAGGTTTCCCCTGGTGACTGACAACTATTATTATTTAATTTTCTAGTCCCATTTTAAAAACTGAAGAGGTAAGTAACACAGAAGAAATGGTGAATTATTTGAAAGACCGCATGAAAGAAGGACAAAGTGGGGTTGATCTGAGCTCAGCCGCAACACACAGCAATGGAAAGGAATGTTTCCCACACAGAATAAGTATCTCACTCAAGACAGAGCCAGATGTGGTGGCACAAGTCATCAACCTCAGAACACAGGAGGTGGGAGCAGGAGGAGAGGGGTTCAAGTCAGTCTGGGCTGCCTGAGACTGTCTCGAAGCAAACAATAAGACTCATGAAAGGAAGTGGAGTTATAGAAGCTTTCAATTACCCCTCACACATTGGATAAATAAGATCTATAATGTAACTGGAGACTCTGATATACAACTAAGCATCCCCTACCCCAATGTTTATCCTGGTTGGCAGCATTGTATTGCCAGTGGTACCAGGAGCTATTGGAGAGATGTCTTTGATCCTCATTAAGGAATATTACTCTTCAGCATTTGGAGGGAATGAAAGTTTTTTTTTTAAACATCTCTCACATTAAAAAAAAAAGAAATTTTGGTAACTGCAAGAAAATGATAAAATAATGGAGCTCATTTCTCATGGAAATTACCCTTAGATTGCAATATTCTGACAGTATTAGAGACTACATGAATCATGTCACTTTATAAACTCTGCAGCTTGAACTCTTTCCATAGGAGCTTCAATTTATTTTCCTGTTGATCTCTTAATCCTAGTTTAATCCATTATTGCACAATTTTGGTGTTACTTTATGCTTTTCTATGAGTAATTTTGTTTTGTGACTTATTTTGTGATGCTTAAAAGAAAATATGTATACACCCTTCTTTGTCAAATTAAGGTTTTCATATAGTACTCTCCTTTAACAGCCTCATCCAGGTCATCCGTTTATAGTCATAGTAGTAATATATTTAACCACTGATTTATAGCTTCCCAGGGATTATCACTTACTAATTATGGCATGCATGAACTCAGTTTTGACTTTATCTTATTCTTTTGCATTCGAATTTCTTTTAAAGATTTATTTACTTTGTGCATGGGTGTTTTGCCTGAATGTATGCTTGTATGAGGGTGTCAGATTCCCTGGAATAGAGTTATAGACTGTTATGAGCTGCCATGTGGGTTCTCTGGAAAAGTAGCCAGTGCTCATAACCATTGAGCCATCTCTCCAACCCCTACCTTCATATTTCTCCATGTTATTTTTTTTATCTGATTGTGCTAAATTCAGTTTTATCCATCCATCAGTGCATAAGTCCGATATAAGTCATTGGCTAAGACTACAAAATCTTGGGAAAGAGATAGAAATGAATAAATGAGTTGTGTATGTGGTACTTTCAGAAGTGTCTTTGCAGTGGAGTTTCTGGGGAAACAGATAACCTTGAAAAATTCTAGTTCAGACTGAATCTCCAAAATCCTAAGTCCAGCAGTAGCTAGATCTTAGAAATGTATGTGGAGAGCATAAGTTGAGAGGAGTCCTGTTGACTCAGCAGGTGCGACCTCCCCACCCCCACCCCAGTTCTGCCTTCTGTCACAGACATCCTCTGTCAACATGCATTTTCCCATCTCTATTGCAACATTCTCAGCAGCCATAGTCCAAGAGGAAACAAATGCCAAAGAGTAAGAAATCAGTAACCTCAACGATCACAGCAACTTCAGTCTTACAGCCCATATCCTATAGGCCGGACGATACCCAGAGCCATTTAAAACACATTTATAAAGGGAAGCCACTCAGAATTTGCTAGGAGATGCTTCATCCATAGTTCCCTTCTATAACATCAATCATCAATCCAGAGCCCAATTCCCTAATCAGTAACACGAAACGCATGTATCAGGCAGACATGCTATGATCTTTTGGAGGCTGAGCATGCCCTCTGCTGGTTGGAAGTGACAGAACACAGTCTGGGGGGGGGGGGGGGGGGCACAGAAGTCTCCTAGTTCAGAATAACCACAAATGCAGGTTTAGGGGTAGAGATGGGGAGTGGCTGTTGTTCTCTAAATTTGTCACATTCCGGGAGACCTAACAGTTTCCTAAAACACTGTTCTAACTACTACGTGCTAGAGACACATCTTGAAAACTGCTCCTATGACCTAGCATACTTAAGGAACCAGCCACTCTTCAGTGGTTCACCATCAATGCCTTCACCGTCTTCAAGGCTCTGATAGTTTTCTAAACACCCTGGACCTTTCCTGAGTGCTGATATTTTTGGAGTTGGTTTTGGAAACCGGGTCTGAATGATATCTGCTGCAGATGCCCTATCCTATTCCGCCAGAGGGCACTTGGGAATTAGACACATCTTGGGAGAAAACGGACTTAGCAAATCTGCCAAATCATGGTGATATCTTAAGTCACTCACTTCTGTTGGCCCAAGACAGGTACAGTCAGTTCTTACTAGCTGATCTATGTTCTTTCCCAAGAACTAAACTGCAGCCAGCAACAACCTACTGCTGTCTTTTCTTCACCCCTTCTCACACCAAAATAAGAGAACTAATGGGCACAGCTTTTGTATTTACTAAGGTAATGCTCACCAATAGGAAATGAACAGCTGCAGGCTTTTAAACTATTAAGTATAACACCACAATGCAAAAAAAAAAAAAAAAAAAAAAAAAAAAAAAAGGAAGATCCCTTAGAATCGGGAAATGAACTGCCTTCCTTCTTCTTCCTCTTCTTTACAAAATAGCTCCAAACAAGTTAGAGAAGTAACTACTGTGATCATCAGAAGAAGTATTAGCCCACTTGAAAAATCAACAGCAATGTCACAGTTCACTGTTACAAGGCACAATGGTAGGTATGCAGCCACCATTATGTGCATAATACAAGAATCAACATGCACACCCTTTAAAAGATCATGGGTTCAATCTATGTAGGAAGAAGATAAAGATGTCTCTCAAAATAGTATATGAGGTTTCCCCTCCACTGTCTGTTTCCATCTTGTATTACAGACTACCTCCATTCTACTTTTCCATATACTCTGCTCCAGACACAGTGGTCTCAACCATTCCATAGTGTCTATCTCTGCATCCCAGAGCTCATCACGAACTCTTTCATCTCCTAGGGAATTGATCCTCCAGAATCCAGATGACTACGACAGCTTTCAGTTGTCTTGTTAATGTCCACTTACAATGAGGGTCTCCAACCACCCTCAGTACCAACCACTCCTGACGTCCATCCATTTATCCTGATTCCTCTTTCTTCTTACCATTCCCTACCTCACCTTCTCTCCAGCTACTCATGTATATTATAACACATGTATCATATGATTATCAGCATGAAATAGAGAGCTAGATTTTAGACCCCACTGTAATTTTCTGGCTCAGAACTCTGCTTAGCGACAATGAGTAGTCAATAAAATTTTCGTATAATACCACAAAATTTGAGTACCAACTTCAAATGTAGTTTTTGTTATTATAGGAAAACTTAAAGCCAGATTGTATGGTTCATGCTGTAATCATGGAATTTCAGCACTACAAGTGGAAGGCTATGACAGGAGTAAAATCAAATATTAGTATGTAATTTATGTTCTAAAAAAATATAGTCTGCAAAAGTGTCTACCATTGTTATCATGCTTATGAGATAGAGCATCTGTTAAGACACATTAGACTAAGTTCTATGTTCTTTTTTAAAAAGTCTCAAGACTTATTCCTCCAATCTAACTGAAACTATTTGACCAATGACTCCATTCCCACCCACACAGCCTGTAGTCCCTAATAAACATGATTATGCTCATCATTTCTGAGTTTGAATCTACATTCAATGGATAGAATCGTGTTATTGTCTTAATTTTTATGATTATAACGTTGCTGCAGTATGAACATGGAAATTCAAAGATTTCATCAATGTGGTGACACCATTTCTTTGTCTCCCTACCCAGAAGCAGTATTGCTGGATAATACAGTACTATAATTGCATCTTTAATTCTTTCAGGAATCATTAGCATTGCTTTGTCTCTGCATCCTTACACTATCTTTTTTCTCTTTAATGATCGCCACTCTAACAAGTGTGAAACGGCATCTTTCTGTGGTTTTGGTTTTCATTTCTCTGGTGTTTTTAATGATACTGAGAATGCTTCAAATAACTGTTGTAATTTTTTTGTATAGCTGCTAGAAATTGTTCATATACCTGTATTTCTTCTTTTATGAAATTCTGTCATTTTATGCTTTTTAAGTTTTATTATTTGTTTCTTGATATGAAGAGGAGTTTCTTATATTTTGGTTAGTAATCTCATATTTAAATACATAGCTTTAAATATTTCTCTCACTTAGTGGGTTATCTCCTCATTTTTTTCCTTTGCTGTCTTAAATACTAAGTGTGGGGAGGAGCTGGAGAAGTGGCTCAGGATTTAAGAGCACTGGAAGCTCTTGCAGAGAACCTGGGTTCAATTCCCAGCACTTGCATGGTGGCTCACCACCATCTAAAACTCTAGTGTAGGTGATCCAATACCCTCTTCTGGCCTCCTCAGGTACCAAACATGCACATGAGTACACAAACATACAATCACAGCCCTATACACATAAAAATAAATGAATAAAAATAAAATACTTCTCATGGGTTCCTACTTCAATTGTTCAATTATTTTGCTTTGCATTTCTTGTTCTTTTGAAGACATATAAAAAAACATCATTGCTAAACCCAACATGATGCTTCTCCTATGACTGTTTTTTTAGGAGTTTTATAGTACTAAGTCTTTTATTTGATATTTAATTTATTTTAAGTTATTTTCTGGAGTTATGAAGCAGATCAGACCATCAGCACTTGCCATATAAGATGTACAATACATAAACAAAATCTTGACATCCTCATTGGACAATTCTTAAAATTTCACAATGAAGGGTTAATAAATTGGCTCTGTGAAATTATATGTGCTGTGTACAAAACCATGACAGGCAACAAAGATTTAGAATTTTACATTAGTTTACTTAGTTTAGAAGTTTACTTAGAAGTGTATTATAGGGAAGTTCCCTTTCCAATAATGCCTTTTATAAAATAGAAGTTTGCTTAAAGGGAATATAATTAGCACTAATCTCCTTTATAAGACTCATTCATAAAGACCCAATGTTATTTCAAGTCCTTGTATCTGCTGAGACCAAAGAAATTCACTGAGAAATTCAGTCTATTTTCCTGTGCCAAAACCTGTTAGTTTGTCTTTTAAAAACAGAAGTGAGGGTTGAGTATGAAAAGTTATAATGAACTTTTGAAGACATGATAATCATAACTAGAACTTCAGAAAGACATTTTAATGATGAGTCTTTCAATATCGTAAAGAGAATGGTGCCGAATCTAAAAGTGATTAACTCACAGAAACAAATGTATTACAAAAAGTTATGCTAAGTGAGAAACATAATTTTCTCTAGAAACATCTCACAAACAAAGATGGAGTTCCTGGAGCTGTAGAAATGTCTAGGTAGATAAGAGTGCTCATTGTTCTTGAAAGAGAACAGAGTTCATTTTCCATACCAAGCAGCTCCCAGCCACTGTAACTTTATCTCCAGTACATCTGACGCTCTTTCAGTACTATCTATGGATGCCCACAAACACATACACATTCACATGTGTGAGGGAGAACACACAAGTAACTGCCTTGAAGTTTCTGGAAACCCACATGCATGTAGCAAGCATGCACGCACACACACACACACATATTCAAATAGTACAATAAATCTAATTTTTTCAAAAAGCATTCCATTGTTATGAGAACTCAATGTACAATAATTATATTACAAATCAACATATCTATCTACACTAGATATTGTCTCCTATATAAATTAATTTTGTCAAAATCTGAAAGATGATAACAATACCTCCCTCTGCAGGTCATTTAAGATTATACTTTGTACCTTAATTTCTATGCCATTGCCACCATTAAGATTTCATTTGTGCCCTCTCCCACCCAAGGCTAAATGCTCCAGCAAAGACAGTTCCAAAATGATGTTCTCACACAGTCCAATTTCTCATTTTTCTCTCAGTAGTATTCTCCCTAAGTAAAGCAGTACATAATTCCTATGAGATTCAAAACACTTGTGTGCAACAAATATATTTTAATTTACTCAAAACTACTGAGGAGGTTAATAAGTAATACTTATTTACAGTACCTTCTCATGCATTCTGCCTTCCTGTAACATGTTAAATGAAACTCGACATGTTTAGTGAAATGAGAATTCTGAAGTTGAAAAGCTAGAAACAACATATTTCTCAAAATATGCATCAATACTACCACACTTTCATACAGAATTTACTATGCATATTACTGGATTGTCAATATAAGTAGCAACACAAATCAGACTTGTTTGATAGGGGAAGTTTATTAAAAAAAAACAGTTTCTTAGTGTTCATTAAAAGGAAAACCGTTTTTTAACAGAACTGTTTAGTGGTTTTTGAATACTAGAGGTTTAAGGGAAAGTTTTACAATTTCTACCTGTGACTAACTGCTTGTCTCTAGGAAGGAATCATAAAGATCACAAGGATATTCTTGTACTAAATACAGGACCTTGAATCAATTATTCAAACCAATTTCAAAATTTTCAGTGACTAAAAAATAATCTCATTTTTTTTCAAAATGCTACACTTTTAGTTACTCATGAGCCATGATTAGAATAAGGTTTTCAGATTGATTAGATGACACTGCCATACAAGTACCAGCCGTCCTTCCTAATTTTGTTTTAGGAATGACACAGAATACCTCTGTTGATGTCCTAAAGTATAGCTCTTCTTCTCCTGAGGACAATTGTATACTGTATTCTTTTGCGCTTCAGTCTCCAGGCCTACTGACTACCAGCATTGATTAATGAAAATTTTTTTTGCCTTGCTTTAACCTTTCAAACCTGTCACAATGTCCAACCTTCCTAACTGCAAGAAAAGTTTCAGTAGGGGATGAATGTACAGGTCTTTAACTAGAGCTGAGGATGTTTGCCTGGATCGTTTGTATACCAGTGACCACTGGCCTTACCTTCCCATGGCTGCATCCTCATTTTCAGGGTTCAACCCCAAATAGAAAGAAACCTATCAGTTCTTGCATAAAATTTTGATGGCTTGTGATTTTGTCCCTCTTTATAAAATGATGTGAGAGGCAGAGACTATGAAGTAGAAGCCAGTCTGGGCTATGAAAAGAGACCCTCTCTTTAAAAAGGTTTGACATCTCTCACCTCTGATCTTTCTTACTCTATTGATCTATTTTGTGTGGGCCACCTGGAAAATGTACACTATTTTCATCAAAAATATATTAATACTAAAAAGAATTTTAAACACACACACATAAATATACTCGCAGGTTTACAGCCATCCATCACCGGTGCCATTTCAATAAACACACACACACACACACACACACACACACACACACACACACACACACAAACACCATTTCCACCCAAGTCCCTCCAGACTAAGCCAAACTTTGAAAGGCAAGGCCATCTTAAAGATGGAGCAGAGTATTGTGATAACCTTTAAGATAGCTTCCCTAGTACTTTAAGTAAAGTGGATACATCACTTAAGGCTATGTAGAACTGAGACAAAGCCTTCTTATACTTGTTAACGATTATTCAAAGCTGTAGTATCCAGTGTGCTGAGAAACTTCCTGGCTTTATTGGTGTAGCTATTGAGTCACAGAAGGAAAACCCTGATGGACTTTCAGTATCCACCCTCGGACACATGGGAGTATGTGCACAAGGTCTTATAATCAGTAAGAAACTCATTTCTAAAAACACAGAAAAAAATTGTGCCTCAGGAATCTTGACTATTCTGCTGCTCAAGTAGACTTTAGAAGGAGTCTCGTATTTTTCTCTTCATTCCCCAACTGCAAACAGGTCCTCTTGTACTGCTGAACCCTGAACATCAATGTCATTGATGGTGTGAGAAGTCTTGTTGCATTTAAACCCAGGTCATAAATTCATGGACATTGACGCTGCTTTCCCAGTCAGGCCTGTGATGGGAAAATATGAGTCCTTCATGTCTTTTCTGTCTTATCCCCCTTTGCACTCCCCCCTATCTAAACTACTTCTAGTATCCCTTGTGAAGACACTGGCAGGTGAGGTAGAAGCTTCTCTATTTCCTTTAGTTTTTTTGTCTTGTTGAGGCCATAAGACAATAAAAAGGAAGAGAGAAAAAAAGGAGAAAGGAGGATGGAAGAGAGAGAAAGGAAGAGGGAAAAGGAGGGAGAGAAAGAACAATCAATCCCTTCAGCATTTTATAGACTAAGGAGGATGGTTTTCAAGTTGGTGATTCTAACTCCCTAACCAATGTGTAACATCTGACTCATTCTTAGCATTCCTTTAGCTGTTCTACCTTTTTTTCTTGCTATACAGTAAAAGATAATAATAATAATAATAATAATAATAATAATAATAATAATACAGAACATTGAGGCTTATTGTGAGAAAATAGCTGAAAACATTCCTTCAAATGGAACCGATATTAAAAGATGCCTTTACCACAGATCATTTTGAAGAGCACTTTATATGTATATATTTAGTGTAATATTCATTAAGATGAAAGAGTCACCTATTTTCTATGTCTGATTTCTAGGTCGAGAATATGAAAAGGATAAGGTTTGCAAGGAATTCACCATGCTGGGGAAAGATGACTTCAGATCTTTGTAAGTTGTAGTATCCATGTATTTCTCTTGGGTACTTGACCATGAACAAAACCGAGTACAAGTTAACTTCCACACTGCTGTCCTGGTCTATGAGATGAGGAAAGAGCCTTGGGTCGCTGTGGACTAACCAGTCAAGCAGGTAGAAGTCAGCCAGAGATACCAGCTGAACTACAATTACTGTAGTCAGAGAAACTATGACTTGTAAATTTAAAGAATGAGTAAATACAAGCTTCTGGGGTGAATTAGAACTGCCCTCTTTTTAGACTCTGGAAAACACAAGCAATGACCTGCATAGTATGTTCTGTGGAGTAAGCTCAAAATAGACTCCATGCTGCTTTGATGGCAACTACAAATCCAATTTTTACTGTATACAAGATGACTTTTCCTAGAGCAAATGCCTGACATGTAACCTCATACTCTCACCATTAGTCAAATAAAAAAGTTAATGTATGAAATATTTCTTTTCAAAGCTAAGTAGATATCCTATTCGACATGAGTCAAAATGCCCAACCAACCAATTCAACTCCAATTAACATCATCACTTTTCCCTCAGATCACTAATCCTATACAGCAGGAAGTTTCCCAGTGGCACATTTGAACAAGTCAAGCAGCTGGTGAAGGAAATTGTAGCTTTAACTGAAGAATGTTGTGCTGAGGGGGCTGACCCCAACTGCTATGACACCAGGGTAAGTGTGTATCTGGCCATCTCTACCATGGCTGGGAGAAAGCAACTGCCAGAGGCCTTTATGTCACCCATCCAGGACACTCTAGATTCCAAGCCACCTGCACCTAGTTGCAAGGAAAAGTAAAGGATATTATTTTTAGCTCTCACGTTCACTCCAGTGCAATGTTCCTTTCATTTATTGTTGCTACAAGTTTCAAAAGAAAAATAAGTGGGATAAAGTAACTTAATGCCTTACTAAATATACACTGCTAATGAGAAATGGGTATAGGATTAAAATCCAGTTTGGACTCTAAGAAACCATTTTTTAAATTACTGTAAATTTGAACCTCATAAATACACACTCTTGAATCTCCTAAAATAATTTAAATACACTCGGTGTAGTTTAAAATCCTGCCTACATCTTTAGCACTATGCTACAGAATAACAAAAAGTTGACCTCAAATTATTTGGGTCACTAAAATATTGATAGGCACTCAACTTGTATGTATGTTATGTTCTGAGTATTATTAAAAAACATGTGTCATTTGGGTGTGTGCGTGCCTGCGTGCATGTGTGGTGTTTTTCTCCTCCATAGCACTTACATAGAAACTGAAACCCTAAAGGGAAAAGAATTATAGTCAAAAGTACTGACAGTAACTGATAAAGGTGAAAATAAGTCGACAAAACTTTAATAATGTATTAAACTTTATTAGAGTAGATTGAATACAATGAACATCCTTACCCATTGATTGCTATATCTGCCTGCTGCCCCCCCCCCCCCGGCCTCTATTACGTCATTTCTTTCACCGCCAAATTCACCAATACTCATCATTTCAGCCTCACTCTGCACCACGTCAGACTGAATATGCTTCAAACTGTCAACTACACTCAAAAGAACAAGGCACATTTTCATTTCATTGCCCTCTCACCCCATGTACTTGCTGCTGTATGTCTTGCTCAGATATGACTAGAGCTTTCAGGAGAGATAACATGGACAGATTTCGTGTGACACCTTTATCCTACTCATTCTAAGCCTTTATTTACTATTTTGTACTGATATTTGTTTAACTTTTATTTTCATTTTGGGATAACTGAAACCAGGAAAACCCAGTGGAGTTTCTAGTGAAACTAATAAAAAGAAAAGGAGATTGGCTGAAGACAGAGAAGTTTTCAAAGGCAGATTAATTCTTAATTTCTAAGAGCAATGGAAGGAAGATATGCACGAGTAATGACTATTTCTTTGACCTACTAATTCAGCATGTTGCTTTCTTTCACTGTTAGGAAAGGTCTTTAGAAAATGTACCTTGAAAGCATAATTAATACATATCAAATTACTTTTTGCTACATAAACACCAAAGTGACTTTTCCCATGGTAATTTCTACTTCTTTTTCTCTTTTATGTTCTTTTATATCGATTTTTTTTTTTACAAACATCAAATTATTTCCAATGTTTTCCCTACAATGTCTTTGGTTGTGTTCTATCCTTCAGCAAGAATGAGAGGAACAGGGTAGAGGCTATAAATGACAGTGACCACTGGTTCCTAGCACTTGCCGAGGATAAGACCTGAAATGGGAACACAGACTTTCAGTCCCCATCTTTGAGCTACTCTGCAAGTGTTTCTTGATGAGTAATTATGACATAAAATCCTGCTGCAGAGATGATGAGCAACTGCAACATGCAGCAAACTAAAGCCAACCCTGTCAAGAAGTTCCTCATTTAGTAAAGGGAGAAAAGGCCAAGGGAGGTCCACCTTGCTCTTGGTCTGCATACAAAAGTAGGTGGGAGAGGAGATGAGGGTCACTACTAGAACTCCTCCAAGTGCTTCTCACCTCAGAGATGCTGAAAACCCTTCATTGAGAAACACCAGGCTATGTGATAAAGGTCAAATGACTGCAGCCTGATAAGCAAGGTCCATTTATTAATGAAAGTTATTTATTTCATGTTTTACACTGGAAAGTGTCATTGATTAACATAAATAAGACTCTATACTTGCTTATAACCAAAATTATGCAACTTTACATGTCTATATATATAAATCATGGTGTGCTAATTTGATTACTAATTAGATTTTTTTAAATTACAAATTATGTATTATACTTAATGGAGACTCATATGCTAGCTACACAGGTTTTCACACCCATCCCTTCTTTCATTCCAGACCTCAGAGCTGGCTACCAAGTCATGTAAACGTGATGCTCCCTTTCCCGAGCACCCTGGAACTCTTGTATGTTGCAAGGAAAAGGGCCTATCGAGGAAACTCTGCATGGCTGACCTAGATCATCATCCAAAAGAAATTCCCACTTATGTGGAACCAACAAATGATGAGATCTGTGAGGCATTCAGGAAAGATCCAAAGGGATTTGCTGATCAGTAAGTGATCTTTAAGTCTAACTACCACTCTTCCACACCAATCCAGATGCCTGCCACTGGGAAGACAAAGGAAGGGCGACCACAACAAGGGCCAGAGTAGTCAGGCCTCATAGGAAGGCTTTCTCTCAAAAATAGAAGGAAAGGAATCAGGAAAGGAAAAAAAAAGGAAGAAAGGAGGGATGGAGGCAGGGAGGGAGGGAGGGGAGGAAAAGAACCGTGCAGGCAGGCAAAAATATGTGGAAGGGCAACTCACGATAAAAAAAAAAATCATTTCTTCTATGCAAAGATAAAAAACAGTAATATTACTTGTGTGAGGGAAACCTACACATGTTCTCAAACTCCCACACACTATCCCATGGCTTATTTTTATACATCTGCAGGTGCATGTGGTGATTCCCCTTATGCTAATGATCTTTGCATCATGCAGATGTGAAACCAATTTAACTACTGTGCACATTTTAAAATACTTTTCAATAAAGCACAGAAATAAATGCCCTCCATCCACACACATCTTAGAAACAGCTGTGAACATGACATGTATTACCAAATAAAAATGTAATGTGGACATTTTTATTGTTTTTACTGTATATGAGAAAGTGGTTATATGCTGAAAATGATACTCTTGGAAGGTTATAACCTGTACAGAAATGAATCGGAGCATAATCACAAAATCCTGTTATGCCTTAGGGATTACAGTGGAGACAAAGGCATGGGGGGGGGGGAGTTTGCTGCAAGTTTCAGGCCAGCCAACGCTACATATAGGGTGAAAGATACTCCTGGTGATGAAAATATCTATATGCAAAATAAAGGGCAATAAAATTAAAACTATTCATAATTTCACAAAAATGGGTTGGTATGCCCATTTCTGTTACTTTTCAGATATTTTGCTCAAAATTTCAGGTGTCTTCTATCGTTTTTAAGCTTACCTCATTTGTATGTATATACTGGTGCCTGCACAGGCCATGACATCCCCTGAAACTAGGATTACAGGTAGTTGTGAGCCACTTGACTTGGTTGTTTGAAACTGAGCTCAGGTCTAGAAGAGCAGGAAGTACTCTTAACCATTGAACCATCTCTCCAGCCCTCAAAATGTCTTTAAGAGCCCCAGAAAATCGTGTAGCTAAAAACCAAACTGACTGCTCTTGTCACATAAGTTCACTATTCATGGGAATTTTTAGTATAGTAAAGTTAAATAGAAAATGAAGAGTAAATCCCCTAATTATAGTCACTATCATTAATTCAACAAGCAACCTACAAAGCAGCTACCATAAGTGATGCTTTTAGTGAGATCATAAAGAAAACAAAATTAAAATGAACAAAAAGATGGCCTCTCACTTGAAACAGACAACATGGAAACTAAAGAACCCATTTTTAAAAATTTAAACATTTTTTTATATTTGCCAGTATTATTGTTATTTCTTTAAATTCATAGTGATTTTGTGACCTAATGGGCTGGGAAGATGTTTCCATGGGTAAAATGCTTGCTGTGCTAGCATAAGGACCTGGGATCAAATCCACAGAACCAACATCATCTGGGATAGGGCAAAGGCAGACAGATACCTGGGGCTTGCTGCCCAGTCGATCTAACCAAAATGGTAAACTCCAGATTGAGTGAGAGACCCTGTCTCAAAAACTAGAGAGCAATAGAGGAAGAGATCTGATGTCAACCTCTAGCCCACACACACACACACACACACACACACACACACACACACACACACACACACACTACACATACAGATATACATACATACATACATGCATACACACACAATAGAGATGGATGGATAGATGATAGATAAATGGATGGATGATAGAAGATAAATGAATAGATAGATGACAGATAGATAGATAGATAGATATGCCTGCTTTCTTCATCAAAATACTAACAAAAGTACTAACAATGCATTTAATCCATCCCATGTCTCCTCACAGATTTCTATATGAATACGCCACTAGCTATGGACAAGCTCCTCTATCACTTCTAGTCGCTTACACCAAGAGTTATCTCTCTATGGTTGGATCCTGCTGTACTTCTGCAAGCCCAACTGTATGCTTTTTGAAAGAGGTAGGCTCCATTTACTTACTACAGTTATATACTATTTTCCCTTCCTAAACTGGAAAAGTTGGGATTTTGTAGTTAGCAAAGGTTTTGAAAATTACTTCATTGCATTTTGTTAATTGAAAGATTTCATGCCATTAAGGAGATATCAATAAATTACAGTGGCTGGTGCCCAGCAAAATTATATTGATTTTAAAATGTCAAGCAACTAAAACATCCCTCCCTGCTATGTATACACACAGTATTCCTCTGGTTTTGATTATCTAATATAATTCTCTGTGTTATATTCTAGAGACTCCAGATTAAACATTTATCACTTCTCACTACCATGTCAAATAGAGTCTGTTTACAATATACTGTTTACGAAAAGGAGAAATCAAGGCTCAGGTAAAGATTCTGTACCTTCTTCATTCACCCTGCACTCTGTAGCCCTGTGGAATATGCCTGCCACACAAACACCCTGGGGCACTTTCTCTAGTCTTGAATTTATTCTTCTTTTACACTGAGAAAGCATGTTTTGCGAGTATCACATATATAGTCCTAATACAGAGGTATCATATATATTGCTTAATTTACCTTGGGTTATACTCGCATTGGTATCTAGGAATTTACTCTAAGGGATTAACATGTGATGTGAACAAACATTAAGTTTCAAAATATTGCTACCATATTTTTAATAAGGAAAATTTAGAGATCCCTAAGTGTTTCTAGAATGGAGAATATCTCAACTATAGTAAATAAATAAAATGTATCAAGACTTCAAAATTATACTGTAAAATTATGCTCAATGAAAAGTATAATACATTGATCAAAGAAATCAAAGATGACACCATAAATGGAAAGACACTCCCTGCTTGTGGCTTAAAGACTTAAAACTTTTAAAAATGCCACATTAGCCAAGTGAGGTGGCGCACACATACAATACCAACACTTGGAAGTCTGAGGCAAGAGGGTAGACATACATCAAGGCTAACCTAGGCTACACAGTGAGTTCCAGACTGGTCTACATAATGAGACCCTGTCTCAAAAAAGTAATTTAGTAAATATTAAAATTAATAAATGAAATAAAGTGTTGTATTATTTAAAGCAATTTATGTAGTCAATCCAATTTCTTAAAATCATGATGGCATTAAAAAAAAAAGTCTTTGTTAATCAGCTTTTTGTTACTGAAACAAATCCTAAGTTAATCAATCCATACAAAGAAACGTTTACTTTTCTTATAACTTTTAAGGTGTTGGTCTACAGTAAGTCAGCCCCAATGTTTTGGCCTCTGATGGCACATTGAGTGGAAGCATATGGTAGTGCAAACCACTCACCTCTTAGCTGGCAGCAAATGGCAAGAGGAGGTGGAGGAGGTTCTACAATGTCCTGTGGAAGTCGATTCTTAATGACCCAAAGACTTCCCAGGAAGAACCATCCTTCAAGGCTCCCAGCACCTTTTGGCACCATCACCTGAGTTCAAACAGCTGCCCTGTGATAGACATTCAAGCTCCAAACTTTAGTGCCATCCAGAAATTAATGTTATCACAAGGGAACCTCAAAGAACTCCAGATAGACAAAACCCTTTTGAAAAAAAAAATAACAGTGCGGCCTAAAACAACTACCATGCAACAATAATCAAGTTAATGTGATACAAACACAAAAAGAGATATAGAGATCCCTGAGCAAAAAGAAGGCCTAGAACTAACCTAGTATATTTAGTCAAATGATTTTCAACAAGGGTGCTAAGAATATGCAGCATAGCAAAGACAATTTCTCTAAGTGTTGAGAAACTAGATAGCTACATGCAAAATAATGAAGCTGGACTCTTACCTAACACCATTTTAAAAGCTTATTAAAATCTTAATATAATATCTATAATTATAAAACTCATAGATGAAAACAGGAGAAATATTTCAGGCATTGGCTTTGACAATGATTCTCAAACAGAAGAAAGGCAAAACCAAAAATAAGTATATCAAACTTTGTAACTTCTATCCAATGGGTGTAATCGACAAGGGAAAAGGTAATTAGGGAAAACATTGACAACCTCTATCTATTAAGGAGGTAATATCCAGGATACATAAAATATTCTATAATGCAATGACAAAAGTGCTGAATTAAAAGTGATTTTTTAAGACATCTTAAAAGGTAATGATATGCCATATTGTCATTATGGATTGCTTTCAGTTCAACATATGGTGAAGGTCTGGCTAAAAGAGAAGCTATGTCTCAGTGCTGAATATTTCAAAACCTTCACTGGAGATGGTTTAGTCTTTAGAATTGCAACTTTACTATGTAACACAGATCACATGGCCGGTGTGCTCCATTCATCTGTTGATGCCAGAGACTACAGTATTCCTCTCAGTAGCATGTCTATAATGAAAACTAAAAACACTAAGAATATGAGCTAGCTAATAAATTCATTTTTAACTATCTAGCCATCTCATAAAACTAGCCCAAAAAGTGCCAACTGCTAACCTGGAGGATGTTAGGCCACTAGTTGAAGATCTTACTCAAATCCTGTCCAGATGTTGCACGTCTACCTCAGAGGATTGCATGGCTAAAGAGGTGAGTAAGGTGGTCTGCAGGATCAAGGTGATACACTGAGTACAGTGGACTGACTGCCAGTCTTCTCAGCTGATTTCATATGCATTATTCTAGCTTCCTCACATGCTTGACTCACAGATGAGGAAACAGAGTAACGGGGGGGCAGCAATTTGAAACCACCAACCAGTAACAAAATCCACATGCATACAAGGACAAGATTGTCCTTGGATTCCCAAGCCCAGCACTGTTCAAAGTATTCATTATCCACACATGGTTATTTAAATGTAATTATAGTCTCCAGTATTATATTTAAATTGAACACAATTTAAAATTCAGCTATGGCATAAAGTCTTATTAGGGCTGACACTATCCAAGCCTGGTAATGTTTTTATTATACTTTGTACAATTTGGTAAGCATATCAGATCTTTTTACTTCCTAAATTTGCATAATTTTCTCAAGTTGATACAGACTCAGGTAATTACATTAGATGAAGATCACTCTCCAAGGTCTTACTGGCATATTTAGCACTAATATATTGTGCTGTGTAGTCTTTTTCCATTACAAACACAAAATTGTGTGTATAGTTGCTTTACTATAATGATGCATGATGTCCAGTAGGACTACACGGTATTGTCAATTGTATGTATTACATCACCTTCCCAGGTGCATCATATTTTTAACTAATCTTCAATTATTGCATTTGTGTTGGCTTTTCAACATTTTAAGCAATGACATACCTTATGGCATTATAGCTAAATATTCTCTCTATCCTAATTATTTGAAGGATAAATTATTCTGTTTTATTAGCATAAAATATTCAGTTTCAATATGGAATTTTCATAAACATCACACATGTTCTCTCTCTCAGAGGTGAAATTGAGCTTTATGTGATAAACTTTCACATATTAACAAACTCCCTTCCCAAGTATCATATCAATTTGTTTTCTAAGAGCATTCTCACAAACATTTATAAATACCATATCAGGACTTGAAAGCCTATGTTTTATTTTTAGTAAGACCAATAAAAACACTAACTGCACAAATCTACCATTCTCTTTGTAGCTGCCTGAACACACATTAAAAATCTGTGACAACTTGTCCACAAAGAATTCTAAGTTTCAAGAGTGCTGTCAAGAAAAAGCACCCATGGACATTTTTATGTGCATCCACTTCTTGCCAGCAGCTGAGCCACTTCAATTGCCAGCCATCAAGTTGCCCACAGAGACAGATCTGTGTGGTCAGAGTACCAGCCAAGCCATGGACCAGTAAGTAGAGCAGTGAGTGGAGTGTTTCTGTCCCCACAGGGGACCAGGCTGAGGGAGAGCAAGCTGTCCCTGTTTTTAAACATAAATCTCTTTATATGGCATCTATGGAGTTTAAGTATTTGTTACTGATTTTAAAGCACTCCAAGTCTTTAAACTTGGATAAGGAAGAAGGAATCTGTGGTTCCTAAGTGTACATTGACAGAAGAGGATTTGTTGTTCTGACTTATATTTGTCTTTAGCTGACCTGAGCATGGCAACACTGCCTTACTTAGTGCAGAGATGGCCAGTAAGAAATATATCTAGAAATGAAGGTCAACATAAACGTCATACACAGTAAAATGTTCCATACACATAATATATACATCATGGCAACATAAATGGGTATCATGTTATTGTCCAGTTTAACCACACTCTATTCCAAATCACTCACACACACACACACACACAAACATACACACTAACTAAAAGTCTATCAAATTTCCAGAGAATAACCTCTTGATAACAAGTAAAATTTAGAATGTCCTTTCCTTAACAGTGTTGATGATATTCACTGACATTTAATATGATTAAATAGAAATAATGAAATGTAATCTTGTCTTATCTAGCTAATGAGAGCCAAAACAAACATACAACATGTTAAATATATTATGAATATCTTCACACTCTTAGCATAGAAAACATTTACACCAAGATAAAAACAAAAAGCCAGGCTTGTCAGTACATACATGCCTGTAATCCCAGCATGAGGAGATTGAAGCAGGAAGTGAAGTAGGAGGGTCCAAGGATGAAGGAACCACTCTGCTGTGAGTTACAGAATGATTTGGGCTGCAAAGTAAAATTATCTCAAATAAAACAATACAACAATCAGAAAAAAGATGTTCATTCTGCCTCTATAGATAGATAGAATAGTAGCAGATAGTAAAGGGGTCCCATTTCGGATTCTTAATCCCAGACACACATTGAAAAGCATTCTTTCCCTTTCTCTCTGACACCAGGTATGCATTTGAACTAAGCAGAAGGACTCAGGTGCCAGAAGTATTCTTCACCAGTGTGCTGCTGAGCATCCTGAAGTCCCTTGGTCGATGCTGTCATGCACAGGACTCCTCAGCCTGTTTCAGCACTAAGGTACACTTGGCTAAGTTTCTTTATCAACAGTTGTTGCCAGCATTTTCTTTCCAGCCTGGTCCCACAGCCGCTTTGCCCCAAATAAACACACGGACACTTTATTAATTAGAAAACTGTTGGTTGATGGCTAGGCCTTTTCCTGGCTAGCTCTCTCTTAATTATCAACCCATAACTATTACTGTATGTATTTCTACATGGCCTTATCTTACCAGAGAACAACTGGCATGTCCTATCCTCCAGGTCTCTACATGGTGTCCCTCAAGGTCTCTCTGCCTACGTTTCCCAGAATTCTCCTCCTCTCCTAGTCCTGCCTATCCTTCTGCCTCTATTGGCCAAACAGTGTTTTATTCATCAACCAATAAGAGAAACATATATTCAGAAGAACATTCCCCATCAAACAGTGTCAGCCAAAATTGCAAACTGAAGCTTATGGATCAAGCCTGGCAAGCTTGCCCAAAAATACAAATATGATCTATGGTACTTTTGTACTTTTGTACTTTTGTGCTTTTGAATTACCAAGTCAAAAGAAGATTGATACTTCATTGTGTGTAAATTAAATAAAATTAAAATTGCAGTGGCCACTGAGTGGCATTGGAGCACTACCATGCATGTCATTTGTTCATCATCTGTGACCACTACTATGCAGGGTGAAATATCTATAATAAAGATCATAGATGACCTAAAATAGTCACTAACTGGATTATATATATATATATATATATATATATATATATATATATACTTTTTTTTCTTTTTACAGAGTCCCATATTGAAGAAGGAACTAACTTCTTTCATTGAACTGGGGCAAGAAATGTGTGCCGATTATTCTGATAACACATTTACTGAGTACAAGAAAAAGTAAGTGGCTGATTTTATTATTTCATTCTTCAAATGTGTCTATCCTGCCTGTCCAATTCTGGTACTGAAAAGTTCAAGTGACAATTTAGGATATACTGCATGAAAGATAAAGAAGGGTTACAATTTTAAGTTTTAAAAGGTAATCGGAACTCTTTTCTAGAGTACAGGGTATGTCATGGGCATTAAGTGAGTGGTCAATTAAAACAGCCACAAGAATTTAAATTATAAGTAAGCTTTCATGCTAGCTCAATGTCAGCCATCATCAGCACATGATCCTTACGAACCAGAAGTAAAAAAAAAAACGCTAATTATCAACAATATGGTACAGCAGTTATTTTCTCAATTAAAGCAAAGAGGAAGCATTTAACTGTTAAGTTGAAATTAATAATAAAATAATTGACCATAATAACAAAAGACATGGTGTTGGGTTCTTAGGGGACATCTTTGTGTAAAAATAATCCATTTTAAATCAGTTGGAATCTAGGACTCAAGCAAACACACATATTCACAAAAAGATTTTCATAGAGAACCCCAGACTAGGACTTCTCCTTAGTAACCTCCATGAAAACCTCTTTACCATGTGAAAGTATTATGCTTGGAAGTGTTTTTCCCTTTGCCCCTTATTGTTCACTACTGGTTTAGAAGTGTATTACTTGGAGAAGGTAATACACCAAACTAAGTGGGCCACTATGAAGGGGAAGTGGCACCAAGATCATAGACAGTGCAAGCTGGAAGACATTGAGGCATCAAGTCCTGTCAACATCTTGAAAATGAAGGGGTAAAACCCCTTAGAACAAGGGCCAAAGGACCCCACTCCCATTTCGGCACATCCTCATAGTGAGTTCCAAAGAGGGAAAACTGAGGAACAACAGAGAGGAAGCATAAAACTGAAATCAAGGTCTATGAAGTACACATTTTAAAGGAGCTTGACATTTAACACTGGAGAAAGATGAAAAGACCAGGGAAAATAGAAAAAGCCACCACTTATGTTGAAATAATGAGCTGCCAAAAGGGCTATAATTGGCTTTTAAATTCAGTGGCGATTTCTATGTTTGCTTGCACAATCTTGCACGAGGTATAGATTTCAATTCTAACCACAACATGGCTCATGGAAAATCCATTCTACCAATAGTTTCCTAAGACGGGCAAGTATTTCTATTTCTATTGTACATGATATGAAATAGTTGTCATCTCACATAAGCAACTACCCTACAATACCTCCAGCAAAACCTTACAAAGTATCATTTTTTCAGACTGGCAGAGCGACTGATGACAAAAACACCCAACACCTCTCCAGGGAAGCTGAAGGACATGGTGGATAAATACTCAGACTTTGCTTCCAAGTGCTGCTCCATAAACTCACCCCCAGCCTACTGCAACACAATGGTAGGAAAGCCTCCCCCCTGCTTCTCATATTCCTGACAGGCTTTCCGGAAGAGGTGGTAGTGACCTTGCTGGTTACCTCAGTTAAAAAAAAAAAAAGTAAGGGAAATAGTTTCCAAGTTTTACTCCATCTATAGGTTAGAACCCAATGAAATAAATGAATAACAGAGCAAGTTTGAGAGTCCACTTTACATGGACTCATAACATTTTATTTCATGTGTGTGCATATATGTGTGTGTGTAAATCATATATACACCTGTTTATCAGGTAGACTAACAGAAATGCTTGTAGGAAAATGGGATCAGCTGATATCTTGTATATTAACCTATGAAATGCTACATTTAACTTGTTTTAGTATAATAAGAAAATGGCCACATCAGTTTATTCATCATGAGAATTACTTTATGGAGAAATACTTTTGATGCTAAAATGGGAATCACTTTTAAATAGTAACCTTTCTTTTAAACACTATCGGTTGGCTGTCATTCTTCCTCTGTCCCTTCCTCTTCTCTCTGTTCTTGAAACATATCACCAGAGTTTCCACACCATCATTGTTTAACTTTGTACAAGAGATGACTATGCGTGCAGTGTTCCCCTATTCACTACTACAAAGGTATCTTGCTTTTCTCCTGGAGGCCACATTGGGAAGAGTGAAGGCTATATTGTGTTCTCTCTCTCTCTCTCTCTCTCTCTCTCTCTCTCTCTCTCTCTCTCTCTCTCTCTCTCTCTCTCTCTCTCTCTCTCCTGTTGCTGAAGTTTTCTTGTCCCGTCAGGTTCCACCAATTCAGCCCCAGATGAACACATATAGATGATACATTAATTATAAAACTGTTGGCAGATGACTAGGACTTCTTATTGGCTATCTCTGTCTTAATTACTAACCCATTTCTATAAATCTGTGAATTTCCCACATGGTCTTGGCTTACTGGAGAATGCCTGGACCTGTTACTCCTGTGGTGTGTCTCCATGGTGTCTCTCTCTCTGTGGCCTCTCCCTGCCTACATTTCCTAGGATTCTCCTCATCTCCTAGTCCCACCTATCTTTCTGCTTCTATTGGCCAAACAGTGTTTTATTCATCAACCAATAAGAGAAACATATATACAGAAGGGCATTTCCCATCACCCTCCTTCTCCCTCCCCCTCCTTGTACCTCTTCCAGAAGACAGATGTGAGAGAAAGGAGCCCAGTTTAGCTGGTGATCTCACTGGTATTAGACCTCACTTCCAAGATACTGAATGATTATATTCATCTTAGTGAATAAATCAGTACTTGCCCTATTCCACCAGAAGGTAAGTGTTAGTCATTGTCAGAATTTAGGGATTCCATTTGTTTGCATTTCTCATTGCTCCTATTACTCTCCAACAGTCATTTAAGTTATTTACAGGAGACCAAAGGTCAGAGCAACACTCTTCTGTTATTGAAGGTATGATAGTTCTGAAACCTTTGATGTCACCACTCCATCTTTGGATCTTAGTGAGAATAATTTAGCAAAACACATCTGCCTCACAGAGTCAGAAAAATGTTGATATTGATGGAGTTGTTCACTAAAATCTATCAAACAAACAGCTGCCAATAGCCAAGTAGGTGTTAGGCTGACAAATTTCAGTTATGTATGATTTCTACCTGTTCTTTCTCAGTGCAGACTCTACAGGATAGTGTGTTTCTCAGTAAAGACTTTATTATATGGTAAACAGAATCAATAGCTCTCTGTGGAAACATTTATAGAATAATCTAAAACAACTATATACATTAAAATGCATGTTACAGATAGATTAAATGAAACAGGTCCTTACTGCTCTAGAAACCATGTGTTTATTCTTATTTGTTTCCCTTGTCTTTTCCTCATGCCATCATCATAGCTTCCAGCTCTGATTTTGCTGGTCAAGACAAAAGCCAAGTCCTAATGCCAAAAACTGTCACTGACTGAAAATTCAAACTTGCTATTGTTAAAATATTAATAGCAAGAACTGCATCTGGTTGGTAGTATTCACTCTAAATTCCATCTAACTCTTTTCCTTGATTCAGTTCCCATTTCCTTTTTGCTAAATTGTTACAATTTATACAAAAGTTGTTTTTCCTTATATCTAAACTAATAAATACAATACTTTAAACACTTCTTCTGAGTTTTCTTACCCCTTTTCTCATTATTTTCTTGGCCAAAGAGTAGGTCCTCTGACTTACTATACCTTCTCAGAATTACTCAACTGTTGTGTCAGAATGTTTCTGTGACTGTGTTGGTAATGGTATGGTACCACCATAAGGTAGATCATATGACTACCAAGACAGTCACACCAATAGTTCTTGCTAACCTTGAAAAACATCTTTCAGTGCCCATCAGCCTCCACTGTGAAATATGTAGTATCCACAACTATTCCTTCCTCTTTGAAGTGATGTATTGTGTGTGTGCTAATGTGTGCATGCACATATATGTGCTCTGGTGTCTATGTGGATGCATGTGCATTTTGATTAGGCTACACTGGCTGGCTAACAAATTTTGGCATCTCTCCCATCTGCACCTCTCCAATGCTAGGATTTCAAGTGTGCTTCTACATTCAGCTTTGCATGTGGGTTCTGGGACTCAAACTCAAGTTCTTGTACTTATGTAGCAAGGAAACTCCCTGTGCTGTTTCCCAGCCCCTTCATACATTTTCCCTAGCATCAATGTTATAATTTTCTGCTGTTAGGCTATGATCTTCCTTTCTTAAACTATTTTATATTTTCTTCATCCTATACTCACTCCTTAAATTGCCATATTTATTTATTTATTTATCTTATTTTACATATCGATCCCAGTTCCCTCTCCCTCCCTCCCTTTCTCCCACCCTCCCATGTCCCCTAACCACCCTCTCATCCCATCCCCCCCACACTCCACAGGTAGGATGATGTTTGCCAGGAGGGGCCATCTATATCTGTCAAGTCATTTGGAGTAGGGACTAGGCCCTCCCTCCTGCCTCTAGGTTAAGGGAGTATCCCTCCATGGGGAACATGATCCCAAAGTCCTTTTGTGCATCAGGGATATACATCCTGGTTCCACTGTCAGAGGTCCCTTAGACTGCCCAGGCCTTCTAACTGACACCCATGTTCAGGAGGTCTGAGTCAGTCCAATGCTGGATTCCCAGCTATCAGTCTGGGAGCCCATTAACTCCTCCTTGTTCAGGTCAGCTGTCTCTGGGTTTCTGTAGCCTGGTCTTGTCCTCCCTCTCCACATCTGGATTCCAGTTTGGTTCAGTGTTTAGCTGTGGGTGTCTGCTTCTGTTTCCATCAGCTACTAAATGAGGGCTTTATGATGGTGGATAAGTTAGTCATCAATCTCATTATCATGGAAGGGCATTTATGGTAGCCTTTCCACTGTTGTCCAAATTGTTAGGTGGGGTTAGTCTTGTAGGTCTCTGGACATTTCTCTAGAGTGAGTTTTCTCTTTAAACTGATAATGGCTCCCTCTTTTATGGTCTCTCTCTCTCTCTCTCTCTCTCTCTCTCTCTCTCTCTCTCATCTATTCCTCCCTTGACTCAATCTTCCTAGTCCCACATGCTTTCCTCTCCTCCCATTCTCTTTTTCCTAGCTCCCTCTCCACTCACTGCCCCTGCACTACAAATATGCTCAGGAGATCTTGTCCCTTTCCCCTTGTGTGAGGGACTTTGCAGGAATCTCATACAAGATTCCTCCTTGTATCACAGTTTCTTTGGCGGTGATCCTTTGTGCTATGTCTAAAATCCATATATGAGTGAGTACATACCATGTTCCTCTTTTTGTGATTGGGTTATCTCATTCAAGATGGTTTCTTCAAGTTCCATCCATTTGCTAGCGAATTTCAAGAGTCCATTGGTTTTTTTTTTTTTTTCTGCAGAATAGTATTCTATTGTGTAAATGTGCCACATCTTCTTTATCTATTCTTCAGTAGAGGGGCATCTAGGTTGCTTCCAGGTTCTTGCTATTGCAAATAATGCTGCTACGAACATAGCTAAACAGATTTGTTATATGGATGTGGATCATTTGGGTATATGCCTAAGAGGCAGATTGCTGGGTCCTGTGGTAAACTAATTCCCATTTTCCCGAGGAACCGCCATACTGATCTCCAAAATGGCTGTATGAGTTTGCACTCCCACCAGCAGTAGGAGTGTTCCCCTTTCTCCACATCCTCTCTAGCATAAGTTGTCATTGATGTTTCTAATTTTAGCCATTCTGGCAGGAGTAAGATGGTATGTCAGAGTTGTTTTGATTTGCATTTCCCTGATAGCTAAGAATGTTGAGCACTTTCTTGAGTGCCTTTCAGCCTTTTATTTCCTCTGTTGAGAATTCTCTCTTCAGTTCTGTAACCCACTTTAATCTTAAATTGCCATTTTGCACAGTTTGTCTTTGATTATGAAGTCCACAACACATTTTCCTGAGTGTTCTTCTCCCTCAGTGTCGTTAGTGTTTAAACAGCCACCTCTGGCCAACATTTTGCCTCTCTACACCATTGCTTATACCACAATAAACTCATACTCAGCAAGACCAAGATTCTTCCATCTAAAATCTTCTGTGTTTCATCAACTGATGATCCATATCAATGTCATTTACCCATTGTCTCTAAATGAAAATTTAGTGATAATTCTTCATCTTATTCTAAATATATCAAATCAAATCCTTAGTCCTTCCAATTCTGCCTTCTAGATATTCCCCAGTCCCCATCCTATATTGGTCACCTTTGTTGTCCTAGTTTCCTGCAGTCTGCCCCTGGATTACACCTTCACAATAGACTTCCCACATCCAGTCTTATTCCACTGCCTCACACTGAATCCCATTTCTATGCTGATGTTACAATAAGCCCTATAAAAACACAAGGTTAATATGTTCCCCCAGTGGTTCTTCATCGTTTTCCTATAAAAGCCTGATCTGATTTGATTTGATTTGATTTTAACAATCAAGAGAATTTGACCCTTCATTTTTTCTGCATGCAGACCTCCTATGGCTGTTTCCATGCCTCAGTGAGACATGTCCAAACTTCTTTCAAGACTCCAAATGTTAAACTTGCTGTGTTCCCTCACCCCCCACCCCGTTGTGTGCAGATAATGACTACCCTCAATTCCTGTTTCTTTCACCAGTTTAAGGTTAAGAATAGGCCTCTAGGACTCCATCCATATGCACAAAGCAAGCTCCCCCATTATCTGTTCTGTGTGTTCACTAATCAGCACTTCTTAAATTCCATTGTTGTTCTTATCAGACTGTAAACCATGGGAGGGGCTATACAAAGCTAAACTAATAGGAAGTATAGTATGGCTAATGAAAATTCTAGTGCAAACTTGTGTTTTCATTATAATCTTATCTCCCGACAAGGTTAAAAAATGCTGTGCACCCTCTGCATGATCTGACAGCCTACAAGTCAAGTGTCTGATAAATTATAGAACATTCTTTTTCATTTTCAGATTTATTATGAAATGGAAAAAATCCACAGGACTGATCCAATGCATACTACTATCTTGGGTAAGTACATTTAATACACCTACCTCATCAAAGGATCTAGAATTTTATCACATATCTTATAAATCATAGATTAGGAGGCAAACTTTATCCTACTTCTGTATCCTATTTATTATCCATTCCAATTCATTTTTCAGTTGAGCATATTAAGCCTGGAGGAAACTCTTGGTGCTTACAGATGTACACAGATAACTTCTGACATATTTAAGATTAACTCCAGATTCACAGGTACCCAGCCTAGTACTTCATCCATCCATCATAATACCAGTATCTAGGCTAATGACACTATAAACATAATGTTTTAAAGGCAAAGTAAATTTTCTCCTTCTAGGGAATAGAATTCAAAATACAAGTTATTCACGGTGTGCACGTTAAAGAGTTAAAATAGTGTCCGGACCATTGCTAATATATTATCTACATCCCCATTTAAGTGAACTCAGTTTCCTTTCATCACAATCTGTACATAAGAGTTTCCACAGATTGAGAATTCAAGCACATCATGGCTACCTCACAAGCCACCCTTCAAGACACCTGAAGTTTTAATTAAGATCCAGGGTTGCTTGGAAAGCCTTATGATCATTTCAGTTTGAATTTGTTTCACCAAGATGTCCGTCCCCCCCCCCCCAAGTAACTCAGAATACATTTTCTCAAAGTTTTAGGAAGATAGTTTTAGCCTCTCAGAGGACACATTGAAACAGGTGGAAATATCCATTTAAGAAAGAACCTAACAACTTTCAGGGATATTTTAATGTTAATTAAGTCAAGGGATAAACTCAATTTTCATATAGTAACACATCAATGAAAGTTCTGAAATACTGATTATTCTGGTTGATAGTAATTATCTTCATCCTCTATAGATATTCCATGTCATTTCCCCTCAATGAGAATTTTTCTCTAACCTTTAAATAATCTTTAAGTTTCTGTACTATCCAGTCATTTGATCACTAGAATGTATTTTGAACACCTGATGAGAAACTCAAAACTCACACCTTTCTTCTGCAAATTTCTACAAAATGCATTCAATGTTTCAACCTCAATTTTAGCAATGTCTTGGTGGTCATAACACAATCTGGAATGAAGAGCTACTAAAAGTGAATTGTATCAAGATGATTGTGTGGCTCAGAAAAATCATTACACCTTCTTCACAAGGTTACAGTATTGAGATATAGAGACAAAGTATTTGAATAGAAGAAGCTGATATATTTTCTCTCTGTGTGCTCATCCTTATTTACACCTCCTATCTATTTCTTCTACAGTCCACAGAGAAGTTCTATTTCATGCTTTAAAGGTGTTATCATACCTTGAGTTGTCATCCTGACATTTATTTTCTAAGGCAAGCCTTCAAGGCCCCAAACTGATGCTCTATTGGGGAGGGAGGAAGTTTTCAATCTTACAAAATAAAACAAGGCTCTTTTTTTTTCCTGAAAGAAAATAAATTAGTATTCCCTCCACTGTCAAGATAAGCAGTTTATTTACCTTGTAGGTGAAAAATATTTTAGAATCAGAATCACACCTTGCACGGCTGCTCACAGTGTGACAGACCTAAGAAATGACACTTAAGAATGTGTGCCTATCTCTTGTCACACCCTCTCTCAGGCATAACCTTAGTGAACAGAGTACAAGATGAAGGGTTTCTTCCTAATCTCTTAGAAAAGAAAAAGAACAAGGGCAAATGAATTTTGCTATATTACAAATTTTTTTGTAAATATAAAAACAAAACAAAACAAAAGCCAATAACTCAACAGCAGCAGCTAAATAAATAAATTAAACACAGAAAAAGAACCATCTCATACTCAACAGTGTCTTACTAAAGTAAAAACCACTGAACTGCTGTCTCAATTCCATGAATAGGGGCATTGGTATGCAGCTTTCCATAATTGTAACAAAATCCCAGGCTTTTTTTTTTTTTGTAACAACCCCCCCCCCAAAAAATAGGTTGATTTTGTCTAATTGTTTGAGGTTTTCTGTCTCATAAGTTTCATGGAGTCCCACTGCTTTTAGGCCTCTGTGCAGGTGTCAGATGGCAGTGGTGGGGGGACATGTGATACAGTAAATCCTGATCTCATGGTCAGGAATCAAAGCGAGAAAAAGTAAGAGGAAGGACCTGGTGTTCCATACTCCTCTTCAAAGACACACCTACCCTTAAGCCCTTAATAAAGAAGGGCTTTCTACCAAACTCCACCTCTCCAAGGCCCCAGCTCTTCTTCCCTAGGGACCTGTCTACTGAAGGTTTCGACTGCTGCAATGAAACATCATGACCAAAATAAGTTGGATAGGAAAGGTTTTTTTTTTTTTTTCAGTTTACATTTCCACTTCACTGTTCATCATCACAAGAAGTAAGGACAGGAGCTCAAGCCGGGAAAGAACCCGAAGGCAGGAACACAGGCCATGGAGGTGCCCTTGCTGGCTTGGGTCTCATGACTTGTTCAACCTGCTTTTTTATAGCACCCAAGACTATCAGTCCAGGAATGGCCCCACCCACAATGGGCTGGGCCCTGCCACATCAATCACTAATTAAGAAAATGCCCTACATGCTTCCCTACAACCTGATCTTAGAGAGGCATTTTCTCAGTTGAGATTCTCTCCTCTCAGATGATTTCAGTTTCTGTCAAGTTGACATAAAACTATTTGGCACACGACCACATGACCTCTATGAGGTAGCCAATACTCAAAACATAACCAGGATTCTTTTATCCAGTTTCTTCTTTGTTCTGTCAGTAATTATTTCCATATAACAGTCACACAGGCCTCACCGGATCATTGCATCTTGGCATAGCAATTGAAATAACGTTTTGCTTTGCATATTGGGAACTTCTTATTTGTAAATTTTGAGTTCCCACACCCCCAAAATGGGCTATAAAGGATATGTGGGTCATGCTAGATAGTTTTTTGTTTATCATAAACATAAAAAGAATATGGCCTTGTATGGATCTGATGTTTCTCAAATGCACCATTGATTTCTATTTTCTCACAGACCAAGAAGAGCTGGACTACCCTGGAAAATAGCCACTGGTAGCAAAATCTGAGCCAAGCCACTGAGCTTCCAGGAAGACCACCAAGATAATTCAATTTTCCCCAGCTATAATGTTTGTGATGAATTATAAAAAAAATAAACAAATTGATATATAGTGCAATCCCTAAGTACAAAGGAGAGTGATGTTGATCTTCAGAACTCCTGCTTATCTAGCCAGCCTCAGAAGCCAGCTTCCCACTAGATCTATTTCTCTAAAACACTCCCAACATTAGCATTAACTCTACAATTCCCAGAAGACTTCTTTCCCTGACTACTTTTCAGACTTTGTAGATACCATTAAAGAAAAGTTAGCCTGCTTGCTAACAGCCTGGGATATTGTACTATTAAAAGAAAGACAAAACCCCTCCTGGGACCACCCTTTCACATCTAGCTGAGCTGTAGCAGTTAATTCTGAAGGATCTTTCTGCCTTGCAAATGAAAATTCTCCTCAGCAGGAATGGAGAGGGAAAGTTTGGGGGTTTTGTTTGTTTTGGATTTGAGCTTTTTACTTTTGCTAATACAATGTAAGTTTTAAAATAGCACACATTTTCAGCTTAGTTCAATTTAACATGTACTTACAGTACTCATGACTTTCTATGTGTGCATACTTTGCTCAGAAAAAAATAAAGGTGCCCTGATTCTATATTCTTCCTGGAAGACAGATACACTTTTGAAATAAATGTATCTGTAAAGCTAATAAAAGCCAAGGAAAACTTTCTCTAGAGTTAATTGAATTCACCTTGGCCAATGCAGTTATATACAAAATAATGAAAAGTGTTCTATGGCATATATAAACAGATTTAAGTTAAGTAAATCACATCTGTCACTCTCCAAGATTCTAAGTCCAGTAGGAGAATGACGTTAATCAAACCAAGTGAAGTGTCTGCACCTTTACCAAGGGAATGAACCATCTGTTCCCTATGGCCCCTGTGGCAGAAAGTAAATGAAATGCAAAGGTTCCAAGACAAGAAACTAACTTCAAATGGTGTTCTTGAGATGCCACAATGTCAAAAACCAATAAAACTATCCATGGATGGGCAACATTTCAGACTTTTGTTTCAAATAATTCCAAGTAGTTGATCACTGATTTAAAAACAAAACAAAACAAAATGAGAAGACAGGTTCCATTAAGAACATAAAAAGTGCTCACCTAAACCATAGTCAATGTCGTTCTTTACTGCACTAGTAACTGCTGCCATGATGTACTCAAAGCCTCTATTGGTCGCATTTTGGTACTATGCCAAGGTTGAACTGACTCCCCCAATCCCTGCTGAAGTCTCTGCAGCTATTCAGTGTGTGAAAAAAAGTAATTCAAAGTGCTAAAACTGGTAGCTTCAAACAGCTTACAGTTAAGGAAGTTATGCTGAATGGTTTGGTGGCCACTGAGGTGTGAATGTGGTTTTTTATCAGAGAGATCACTCATGGCAGCATTGGCTAAGATGTTTGCAGACTGATCTTTAACACCTGATTTTATTTGAGTTTTTATTTGAATGTTCTTGAACCACATGTAATAAGACTGCTATCGGAATAAAATACCAGCTGATGAATGAGAAACAAAATAAAAAAGAACTAGTGCCCAGCAGGGTGGTGGTGGTACACACCTTTAATACCAACACTCAGAGGCAGAGGCAGGTGGATTTCTGTGAGGTCAGCCTGGTCTTCAGAGAGATTTCCAAGACAGCCAGGACTGTTACACAAAGAAACCCTGTCCTGAAAATCAAAATAAAACAAAAGAAAGAACTAGCATTCAAGGTCATAGGAAGCAAAAAGCAGGACAGACACACCTCCAATTAACATTCCACTCAAGCTTAAGTGAGCACATTTGACGGACAGATTCTTGAATCAAATCTGTTTTGGAAATTTAGCTCTCCTTCAGAGAGCCATAATTTACTGTATGTAATTCACCATTTCCCAAATGTATTTAGCTACCAGCCCCTTTGTGTGAGTGCTGCCCAGAATTACTGCTGTCAATTTTCGAGAAATCGTGCCCTGTTTTCAGTCATATGAGAAATTGCATTCACAAATCATTTATGGATGAATTGATGCAAACTGTTCCAGTTTACTCAGATATTGTGATGTTTGACCAGACAGAACTGAGTACCGACAACTGGGTACTGAGTACTGACAACTGCATACCTTTGTCACTAAGGAGCCAAAAAATTTGTCATGGCTGACTGAAAAGCTGTTTTCACTAGTTTTATTAAACTTATATTAACTTTATTTAATATCTTTATATTAAATATATATATTATATATATAATAACTTTATATATATATCTGAGTCAACAATACTTGGGAGGCAGAGGCAGGGAGATCTCTGTGAGCTTGAGGCCAGCCTGGTCTACAGAGCTAGATTCAGGACAGGCTCCAAAGCCACAGAGAAACCCCGTCTCAAAAAAACAAAGAATCCTCGAGTCAAATGTTCCTTCACTGTTCATGTGCATGGGGCTGCCTCAACCATGGTGGCTTAAAAAAAAATTACTGAAGAAAATTTTCCAAAGATTTAAAATACCTAAGGTAGTAAAATCAGACAATGATCCAGTTTTTGTTGCCCGGGTAAGTCAGTCACTGGCCAAGAGATATTGGGGACTGATTAAAATTACATTGTGCATGCAGACCCCAAAAGCTCAGGTAGAAAGAATAAAAAAAAACATTAAGGAGACCTTCACTAAATTGAGCGCAGAGACTGGCATTAATGATCAGATAGCTTTCCTACCCTGGACCATTTGGGCTGAATCCCTATAAATGGCTCTATGGGGGGAGGGCCTCCATAGGTGGAAATTGCCTGTGTACATAGTGCTGATGTGCTGTTCTCCCAGCCTCTGTTTGCTAGTCTTAAGGTGCTCGAGTGAGATAGCGAGCATGGAAGCAGCTCCCGGAGGCCACCTCGGTGAAAGGAGACTTGGAAGTTCCACATCACTTCCAAGTTGGAGATTCAGTCTACGTTAGATGTCACCACACAGGAAACCTTGAGACTTGGTGAAAAGGCCCACTTTGCAGCCAGTCCAGAATATGTTCTCCTCCTCTAGACCCACCCCTGCGCCACTCAAGGTTATAGGACCCAGGGACAGCCTCTTACAACTCTTCATTTGTATTCCTCTCTTGTTGCTTACTGTTGGAAAATATGTTACTTTTGTTAAAAAAAATAAGTAAGTGTGGCCCAGATTATGGTACTAAGACAACAGTACAGGAGAAAAGAAATTAATTGAAGCCCAAATAATTGGAATCCCAGGTAGAATTTGCTAACCAGCCCTAAGCAGGATATCAAGAATTCACACTGCCCCTCCTTTCAGTGAGTTAGCAGGTGGTAAATAGGGTCCTTAAGAAACAAAGAGATAGCTGCAACTCCAGTTTGCTCAGATAAGATTAATTAGCACACCCTGAGGCCCTAAGGTATGCTGACCCTAACAGCAAGACTGTCCGGCCTCAAAGGGTCATGTACTCAATGGACAGAGGGTCACACCCCCTCCCTAAGCTTGTGAGTTTTGCCTTTAAAAACAGCTGTGCCTAGAGAATGATGCTACTCTCTAGCCTGCGTGTTGAGGGAGCCTGTTTGCCCAAACGTTTCCCGTTCATTAAAGCCTCTCGTGTATTGCATCAACTGGACTGGCCATTGAGTTCTTGGGGGAGCCGACCAAAACTGGGAGACTCCTCATTCTGAGGGTCTTACACTCTCAGGGTGCTTAGGTCCTTACACAGGTGGTTCTTATGTGTGACCTTAATCGTCTTAAACACTCTCCACGAGGATTAGTTTACTATTATCTCACAATGAAATTCTTCAGAAGCAAGGTTTTCTATTTTGGAGATTTAGATTTTGAAACATGAGAAAGGCATTTATATCATTTAATTCAAGGGTGATAAACACAAGTAATACACAAATTTGATCTGAGTTGACATTTATCAATTTCCATTGGGAAAGAGATGGCTAAAAGGAAACAAGGGTTTGGAAGGTTGTTTGTTAAGTCTGTGATCCCCTCTACAGAGCCCCACCTATAGTAAAACCCCATCTCACATCAGAATCACATGGAGAATGGTACGGAAACACAAAATGCTCTCTCCCAAGCATCACCTCCAAGGCTGAGATTGATCAGGTTTGAGTAACACCCACTGTGCCACCATAATTCCTGATAACATCCAATTCATGGCTCTCACCTACTGGCTAATCACACTTCAGCAAGGGTGAACTAATATGGCTGCATCACCCATAGCTGCAACTGCATTTCTAATTATTATTATTATTATTTTTTTAATGACAGGGTGACACATCTTCTACTAAGCTTTTCCAATTGTGGGTAATCAAATAAAAATGTTTCCTTTTCCAAAGGCTGTTTCATTCTTGTTTATTTCTTCCAATATTTGAAAAATTGTTTTTCCTATTTGAAAAGTAACTAGTTACCAGTTTGTGGGGCCACTGGTAGGAGGACCAGGATTTATCTCTAGTACATGAACTAGCTCTTTGGAGCCCATTCCATATGGAGGGATACCTTGCTCAGCACAGATACAGGATGGAGGGCCTTAGTCCTGCCTCAATGTGACATGACAGACCTTGTTGACTCCCCAAGGGAAGCCTCATCCTCTCTGAGGAGCAGATGTGGGGTGGAGTGGAGGGTTGAGGGGAGCAGGAGTAGGGGAGGGAGAGGGAATAAACTGGGATTGGTATGTAAAATAAAAAAAGTTTTTTTTTAAAAAAAAAAAAGAAGAAAAGTGCCTAATTATAATCGTTCTTTCCACCATCATTCCCACAGTGCTCCTATCCATAACCTAAGCTTGCTAGCTAGTATCTGCTACCTGGCTCTCGATCATAGTGGATATTCTTATATTTTTCTAGCCTTTAAGTAAGTGTTTAATGTCTAAATTAAATGCCTGGCACCAGTCTTCAACATCAGAAGAGTGGGTTGCTGCAGACTCAAGAGTTTGCTTGGTTCAAATAAAACCCTTTGTCTCCACCCTGTGGATGACATGTCTAAATGCAGGTAAGTACAGAAAGGGATGCAGAAATGAGATCTTTTCCATTACTCTAGATTTTACTTATTCTTAAATGTATATGCTTGATTCATTTGTTTTGTTGATTCTCTTCTTTCCTTTTGTTGGCTTGCCTGGTTGCCTGGCACCCTTCAACCC